GGAACACCACTATGCTCAAAACATTTTCTTGGAACAAAAATAGTACAACAGTTACAGTTTTTACTGTTATTACATTGCATATACACTATTTATGTATGTATAACAATCTACATTTGTTTTGCAGCATTAAGAACCACTAATCGTTTCTGGTGAGTGTAATAATCTTATAGCTGGTTAATAGCTGATTATTAGAGTACACCCTAGTCCCGCATATTTTGAACAAAGTTATAACAATGCATTAAAATAATATATATTTTCTTCATATTTTAAATGTTTTTAACATGTTTATTCAAGTGCAATGTTGTAATGGACTGTCAATAATAATATTTGTATCACAGAACATGTAGAATATTGGTACACACACTCATTTGTCACTAATATGAGTTAATTATTATTTTCTTTGAACAATAAAACACTTTTTGCTGTTATTACACTTTTGTGTCCCATAACAAACCACTAAACTGGTCTATCGAGTCCAAACAGCATTGAGCCACCATCACACACTAATTGGCTCACGATACTACTTCATTTGGCAAAAATTCTTTCTCCCAATATACTACACTTTGCTAATTCTAGGCAAAATGCTGCTATCATCAGAATCACTAAATCCTGAAAATTAATAATTTCCACAAGTTTATTTTGTAAAGGAACATGAGCTGTCATTTGAAGACACTCAAATGCACAAAAGAATGGCATAGTGCTTTTAATGTCTGCCTCATAAACAGCATTGTATTCACTGATATCTGAACATTGTACAGTCTTTATCACAGTCAGGATCTTCTATTATACTGTGCTATCACTGCAAATAATTGCACATACTTATATACTTCATCATTTTGCAGTCCCCATGGCTTAGTAGTAAAGTACTCGCCCGACGCTTCGTGAGTAATTTGGCCTGGGAGGATTGACCGGGTGCCAGTCCTTAACTGTTGCCTGTTCACTCAGCAGTGAATGGGTTGTTAAACGATTTGGCGAGTTGTATTCGGGGAAAAAATTAGGATTAAGGACCTGCCTGAAATGCTATGCGTGCTAATGGCTTTACAAGAATGTAAGAACTATTGTATATTTTTTAGTGATGCAGTAGATGCAGTCTGAACAGCAGTGCTGTTAGTTATGCTGCAGCCACTACTCTTGGTTGCTCTCTCAGTAATGAGGCCTTCACATCTAGGAATGGCACCTCTACTGGAAGCCCCACGTACCCCTGAGCATTTTGAATCCTACATGGTATATTAAATCATCCCTAGATGCCTGGTGCAGGTTGGTCAGATATGCCACAGGCATCCCTGTATGATGCATGCAGCAGGATAGTTAAGGCTAAATACCAGAGTTGAAGTTTAGAAACATTGTACAATAAAGTTGATTGGGGTCCCTTTAACTCTTCTGCCTCCTCGATTTTTATCTGATTTTCATGAAATACTCTAAGAGCTCGGTCATTCATATTCCAATAACCTGAATCTTCCGGTAATCTGAAGGAATTTCTGTTCATCATTGTCACGTACTACACTGGGGGAGTATGTCGGTAAACCACAAGAATGTACAGGTAAATGGCAGGAGTAACCAGGTTCTGATACAATTGGAAATTTTTTCATTTTTGGATATTCCTATTAATTTCAGTTTACTGGAATGTGGGTAGGCCCCTTATGATTTGGATTACTGAGCACAGACAGTATTTACACAATACACATACAAACATACTTTACATACACACAAAAAAAAATCTAAAATGTGTTTGAAAAGTTAACAAAACAAATAAACCCATTAAGTGCGATTATTGTCTAACGTTGATTCATGAGGTAATGTGATTATCACGTTGATTTAAACAACTTTTTTGTTTGGGATTTACACAAATGATGATCATATGGATATAATATGTCTTATATGGATGGAGTGGAGCTGTCATAACATGAAAAAATTCTACTTACGTTTCATGATTGCTTATTATACCAATGCGGTTATCGTTGTACATGTTACTATGCCAATGTGGTACTTGCCATGGTATATTATTTCACTTTATTACATGATGTATCTACCAATTATGCTCATATGGTTTTTACAACTCTGTATAGTTGTAATAAATTACTATCTAGCCTTACTTAATGTTGGGAGTTAGGTTAAAACAAAAACGAAACTTTCACTAGAAATGACGTTAAATGAGAAAACAAAAATCCATAAGCTTAGTAATGTGAGTAAGGATTACGCTACTAGGATAATGGAAAAATGAAGTTTGGTCATTTTTCGCTCGCACACCCTTATCATTCCTAGCACTTTTAGCTTAATTTCTAATGATATTGTCTTCCTTTGGCCTTTCATTAGGATTACTACTTGTTTTAGGCCATTTACCCATTTGACCTTGTCTAAGATAATCTTTAGTAATTATATTGAGCCTGGAACTCGCACATCATGCTTATTTATGTCTGTGATCAACTGACGAGATGCATTTGTTTTGATGCCAGCTAAATTTACTTGATAATTTGTTAACAGAGCCATATGGTTATATTATACAGTACAGTATTATATAAATATAATTGATATTGTGCCATCATTTTTCAGTACACAAGAAGTTTAATTTTCAGTACCAGATAAATATTGCTCGTTAACAGTACTGTATTTAAGTTAGTCCCTCATATACTGTACGGTATGTTGTTTTCTCTGTTCTAGATTGGGAAACTTAAAAAAAGCACTGTGCCTGTCTGATGTTAATTCATTTATTTATTTAATTTTTCAAACAATGTAAAAAGCAAAATAACATTAACTGTAGCGATGTTAACTGAGGCTCATCTGTGTACCTCATCAATCATTTGAACATAACAATAATCATAATAATAATAATAATAATAATAATAATAATAATAAAGGCACTATAGAAGACCTATTAGCTCATATGGGGCAGCTCCTATTAATATTATTCATATAAGAGCTGGTTCATATAGGATAATAGGTCCATACGCTAGACACAAGTATAAGCTAGACATACATGCATAGGCTAGATATGTACAGTATATACGAGTGTAGACTAGACATGTGCTGTATATATACAAGTGCAGGCTAGTCATATTTATAAGCGTAGGCTAGACATGTATGTATGTATGTGTATGTGTATGTGTATGTATATATATATATATATATATATATATATATATATATATATATATATATATATATATATATTTATTATATATATTTATTATATATATATATATATATATATATATATATATATATATATATATATATATATATATATATATATATATATATATATATATATATGAATAAGTCTGGATGGACATAAATAGGAGCTGCCTCAGATGGGCCAATAGGGTCAATGCAGTTTCCACAACAATTATTAGAAAACAAGAACATAAGAATTAAGGAAACTGTAGAAGACCTATTGGCCCATAAGAGGCAACTCACATGCCTGGGTGGAAATAAACTTGAAGCTCCAATCTGTATCCACACTAGCTCATTCATATGTAGCAACTCCTATTTATATTATTCATATAAATAACTGCCTCATATTGGGGTCATTTATATCTTCCCAAACTCAAATATATGAATGAGTTTGGCCGGACATTCATTTGTATCATCATCTAGACAGCTAAGTTCAACATTGAGTGCCTGGTCAGGCAGTGTGTTTTGCTGATGGAGGTCTGGCGTTAACAGATGGGTTGGGCGCAGTGGGCCGTCATACACTTATCTTGTTCACTGCATGAAACCGGCTACAATGAGGATATTCAGTTTATTTCCACTTTTCAAACATTTTACATTCAAATTAATCATTCTATAAAGAAAAGTTATAGGTTTTGTGAATTGGTAGACATGCATCTAAATCTAGAGCTGCACTTTGAAGGTTAACATTCCAAATTGATTATTTCTTTGTAGTATTATTATTATTATGCAATGATAATGTCTTCTCACAGACAACAGCATTGGATAAAATCTACACTTAGGTATTTGTGAATTTTATGTAAATGTTTACACCAAGTCTTTTGCACTCTCCTGAGTGCAATGCCAAGGTCCGAGTATATGGTTATCCTCTTAACCCTTATCCTCCTGACCATGTCATCTCTATTCCTGGCTGCTGATACACTTGCGGTGATGTCATCTATGGAATTCTGATCAGGTATCCTTTCTGTAATCCTGATATTCTTGTTCATCTTGATGAACAAGAATATCAAGATGAACAAGAATATCCCTGGTACCTCCTTCCATACCCAAAAGAAAGCGGCTATTGGAACAGCTTACATTCATCCTTTTATTGAGATTTAATTTTAATTCAACAAGAATAATTTTTCTAGTAAAGCTAGCCTCTGAAGTGAAAGCATTCAGAGTATTTATTAGAACCCCTTCTACTACCCTTCTACTTCTATAATTTTTACATTTAGATATTATTTCACACTAATTAAAATCAATATTGTTATTGTCCCACTATGGTTTGCTACAGCTGCTACCATATGATTCCCAACTGGAGTAGCAGCCGCATTAGTCGTTGAGGTGTAAGTCTCATCCAAACCACACACTCAGACCAGTGCAAAAGACTGAGAATCTCAAATTTCACAAATACACAGGTGTGGGTTTTTATTCATCATCATCATCATTATTATTATTATTAGGAAATACTTATGTAAGAAACTCAATACAATTTACAGTAATTAATCTGCTCCTTCAAAAGACACCAAACAAATGGCTGTTCAATAACATGTTCTTGCAAAACGCTCACATCAAATCAGGTTTAAAATGGTTCTCATAGTAAGCACACTTATGCTAGAATAGGTAAATACCAAGAAATATAAATCTGAAAACAAGTTTACATAAAAGCTTGAAGAATGGACCCTCAATGTAATCACACACCACAAAAAATATCAAAGATAAAATAATCATGTGAAAAACATAAGATTATTGTAGCTTCAAAGTATGCAACATAATAATATACATAACAAAACTTTAAGACATCCCAATAGGATATATCTCATTAAAACTAAAGATAAATAATATACAACCTTGCTTTCACAAGATGAGCCAAGCGTTGGGAAGTCCATCTCAGAATCGATCTCGAATGAGGAGCAATGATGATCAGGCTTATCTCCCTCAATGTTAGGTGCCCCTTCACTTTTGTTACGTCGGCGCCGGCTATCAAAAGAAACAAAAGAAAGCAAAAGTTACTGCAAATGGAATATAAACTGACATTTTATGAAAATATAGGTATTATTTTCTATCATGGGGGGGAAGGGACAACATAAAACTAGCATTGAATGTAATGAAACGCCAGTTTCTGGTTGAGTCTCGGAGACTCCCTGAAGCTACCACATTCATCAAGTCCCATACTACTAGGTATTAGCCACTGTGGAGTTCTATTGGCCTACCGGGGCCAGAACCTGGCCTTCCTCTAGAGAAGCATAGCGAGACATGGCCTATGAACACTTTATATTTAAATTTAGCATCTTTGTCACCACCAGGAAAGCACCCAGAAAGATAGGCGAATCAAAATAGACTACTGCACAATTAAAAACGAGACCAAAACCTCAACATTGCCAAAAGAACTCTCCAACAATGAAATTTTTTTTTTAAACTAGCCACCCCCTAGTTTGCCCCAACCTCCTCCGTCATTTCGGAAGGAGAGAGAGGCGGCCCAGGTCAGCCGGGCCTCCGACAGCCCATGGCATCATTATGGTGGTGATTTTGGGTGAAGAGTGATTTGATGCCCCGATAAATACAGATGAGTTTTTTATAACTCATTAATACATATACTGTATTTTCTCTATTTTTACCAATATAATTCATGTAGCCAGCATGAGTTTATGTAGTAAAAACTAATGTACTGTAATTGTTAATACAGTATTTTTTCAGCTGATCATTAAAAATTACCTGGGTTAGATATTAACAGGTGAACTATATGTGCGCACACACACACACACGAACACACAATACAATGCATTCGCAACCAATGTTTCAAGTTTAATAAACACTAATATTATTAAACTGTGTATTTCTTCAGTATTGAGTATATATACTGTATTTGTAAAAATACCTTCACGGCTTTGATTGTTCACATATTGTATAGGCTACTGCATACTGTAATTTATTTTGATTCATGAATACAGTATCATATATATATTTATACATTAACCCAAGAAAGATACTTTATTAAAAAAAAATGCAAGATGAAAATATAACAAATAAGTGTTCATGAAACAAATTTACTTAAATATGTCATACTGTATTGGGAAGTAAATTTTTTCTGAACACTTGGGCATTCACATTCAGAAAAATGAGTTAGTCCTTGGACCTGACCCTTCCAAAAACATCATTGCTTGGATGTATTACATTGGAGCAAAAACTTAAATTTATTAAAACATGAAAAACCTATCAGGTATCATTACTGGGGAGAACTAAAAGGCAACACACAAAAAGAGCACAATATATTTCTACTGGAATAGCTCGGTGCTTGGTGGCTCCCTGTTGCCAGTTGCACTGAGGTAGCTCTACGGGCACAGAAAATGGAAGAATGTGGCAAATGCAATTATCTTCGAGAGAATCCCAGAAAGTGGTGTAAATGAAGAGTAACACACTTCAGTCCTTCAGGGGGCCTGACGACTGAGTGGACAGCGTTTGAGATTCGTAGTCCTAAGGTTTCGGGGTTTGATCCCCGGTAGAGGTGGAAACAAATGGGCAGAGGTTCTTTCACCTTGATGCTCCTGTTCACCTAGCAGTAAATAGGTACCTGGGAGTTAGATAGCTGCTATGGGCTGCTTCCTCGGGTCGTGTTAACAAAAAGAAAGCTTGGTCGAGGACCAGGCCGAGGGGAAGCTAAGCCTCGAAATCATCTCAAGATAACTAAAGATAACACAAATAACCTATTAAAGATGCAACTGTTTTGTCTTAAACCAGCAAATAGTAGAACTAGAAAAGAAAACACACTAGACCTTATTTTCACAAATAACAATGACCTGATTAGGAACAATGATAAATACCTGATACTCAAATCACAATCTAATTGAAGTTCAGACTAGCAAGAAGCCAAGGTTATGGCACTTGGCAAAAGGCACACACAGCTTGCACCCAACAAACACAATGATGGCGAAAAGGATGAAACAACTGAAGTCATACCCTGCTCATGGAGAATGCCAAACAGGCCAAGTACAGGCTCCAATACAAGAGCTCAAGCAACCTGTGAGTGAACTGGGGCCTCTCCAACACCAGACAGACAAGTCTGCAGGCAGAGCAGAGCTGCCATAGGCTAGGAAGGAAAGCAACCAACAATCCCAACCATGTCTGAACCCAAAAAGGAACCAACTGAAACCCCCACTAGAACACCGGGAACTCAAACCCAGATGGTTAGGAAAGGAACGAACCCTGGTTTGCAAATACTCTGACTGGCTGGGAGCCCCAACCAGCCTACCCCATGGTAGGCCAAAACATAGATATTTAAAAGATGCCATCGCATAAAAAAATCACTGAGGACAAAGTCCAAATGATGGCCAACACTTTTCTATACTAACTGGGACTCAAGAGAGCTAGTGACTCAAGGAGCACATCAACCTCTCTGACATCAGGTGAAGGACTGATCACTTTTGAAATGGAAAGCTGGTAGTTTCTATAGTAATGCCACCTGTAACTACAGGAGATATATTTTGCAAGTTGCCTTTTGTTGGTTCCGATGATCAATGTCCCATGCAGCCTGGTCTCTGACCAGACCTCCTGGTTGGTGGTCTGGTCAGCCAGGCTGTTAGATGTAGCTGCCTGCAGCCTGATGTATGAAGTACAGCCCAGTTGATCAGGGAAGCTTTGGAAGTGTTCATTAAGCTCTCTTTTTAAACACCATGTTGGCTAGTTATGCCCATTATGTTTAGAGGGGAATGGTTGAAAAAATCTTGGACCCTTAATATTGATAGAATTTGTTCTCAGAGTACCCAATGCACCTCTTCTTTTCGATTTTGCTATTTTGCACTTTATGCCACGACTCCTTGCTTCGTGTGGTGTTAATTCTGTGTACATAACTACTGGGAGAATCCTTTGCCAAGTTGTTTGCCGATTTGTTTCCTTACTTAGTGAACATTGCAGTTCTTTCTTTGGCTTCGCTTCCTTTCTGTTGGTTTGTTTCTCCAGTGAGAGATCATAAATCCCTTGCTCCCTGTGCCTTTAAGGGGAGCTAAGTTTTGGCCTCTGGTCTCCAGGAGGCTCTTTAAGGACTCCTAGGGCTGATGTGACTTATATGAGTGAAGCTATCTCAGTGCAGACAACAACAGGAAGCCACTGTTCAGCATTTCCTGAAAGTTAAATAGCACGCATAAAGCATAAGTTATGTGAGGTATTAGTAGAACATACAGAGGATAGCCGTGCAGGAAGGGGCAGGTGATGCCCTTAAGGCAAGACGCCTCTTCCCAGAACCTGCAGGTAATGGAGGCCAAGTCATGAGAGAATTTGCAGTCACTACGACGGCAGCTTCCCTCCATGAAAAAGGTACAAGGACGCCGAGAGGGAGGAAGCCATCGCCCTGGTCGTGGCTTCCGTGGTAGCTGAACCTGAAATGAAGTATGGATCCATTTATAAAGTATGAATCCAATGTGAGGCAATTCATTATGGCAAAAAAATAAATAAATAAATAAATAAATTATCCATGGACTCCTATCTTGGTACACCTAAAAAAAAAAAAAAGACAACAATTAGCATTGAATGCAATGATTTTTTTTTGGGGGGGGGGGTGAGCCTTGGTGGCTCCCTTAAGCTACTAAATGCCAAGATGTTACCATCTACTGTACTAGGTTGCATCAGCCATGGAGTTCTATACGCCTACTGGGGACCAGTGCCAAAACCTGGCCCACTCAGAGGCACAGGGAGTGGTGACATTAATTTTCCCCACCTCACTGGGGAAGGCAAGCAGAAAGCCAATAAGTCAAAACAAACCACTGCTGGCTTCAAAAAGAGACCAAAGCCTCAAAACTAGCCTAAAGAATTCCTCCAACCATGCAAATAAACTGTTGAGCCTCTTAAACCCTTATGCCCGAATATCAGCCCAGGAGATGTTTATGAACACCACTGAAAGAGCTGTAAATTTCCTAGCATCATAGGCACGAGGGCAGACCGCAGGCTAGCTAGACCCAATAACACTGCAGATGGCCTGGGAACAGGAGTCTTGGAACAGGATCAACCCATAAAGCATCCCCTAATGCCGAATTGGTAGCAAGAAAGTAGTGGCAGAAAGCTGTCACTGGACAAGGCACCAGATGCACATCCAGTCGAACCAAGCATCAATGAACAAAAGACCCGTCTGGAAGCCAACTAAACTTTTCACCAGAAAAGGAGCCGGCTGCAAACTAAAAATGCCCACCAGGGCCAAAAGAATTTATAAAAACAATCACAGACTGAAGGGGACACTTAAACAAGAAGAGAAGAATGGAAGAGCACAGTCCAGCAAACTGTCCTCAGACCAAGTCCATTCCATCAAGCGGTTGACCCCAAAGACACATTCATAAATTTTAATATGCTGTTCATTCAAAACAGGAATTTTCTCAAATATAAATTATTGTTATTATTATTATTATAATTATATATCAGCATATTGTGTATATTTAGGGATTGGTTAGGTTAGGTGTTTAGGGTTCGTTGGCAATTAATTGTAGTATGACAAATAATCATTTGTCAATGGCAATCATTTACAGCGTTGTAGTTTGAACAAAAGTCATCAGTGAAGCACTTGTTCCGGAAGTGTTCGGACATCATCAGTTGAGAGTCATATGCAAGCAGGAAGCACAGCAACACTGGAGGCCAAGACCCCGACAAATGGCTTGCCCCGCTCTGCATACTCACATCTACTGTGAACCAATGAGAATGCAGCTCAAGTTGACAAAGAAAATGCACAATGGAACCCAAATGCAGACAGGTGTGAAGATTATTTGCCCCAAGTACTGCTGACAACAGAGTACTCTGTGCATGGAGCTGCAAGAGATACACAGTCTGAGAAAGAGTGGAAGCAAACAGGAAGTCATTGAGAAGCACAAAAGAAAGGCCCCCAGAAACGCTTGCTGCACGGGCAGCACCGTACACCACTCTAGTGTGCAGGTATAACAACTGAAATACACCAAACAAAAACAAGGGACTGTTCTCACTCGGAGAAGACCAATATTCAAAAGAGGCAGGGTCAATCAATGAGGCCTAATTCACATCTCGCAAGAAGTACGGAGAAAAAAAAAAAAAAAAAGAGCCTCTTGAGCTGCTGCAGGATGGACCCTGCTTGGTAAGCCACCAACTGCTTTGGTGAATGTCACTCACCTGTGAAGTACTGAGTATGTAGTATGGTGTATATACTGTATATGGAAATAGTGTGTGTGGCAGTAAATATTATTATAGTGAAAATTGAACATTTAATATTGCAACAATAAATTTTATTGGACATATTAGTGAGCTTCAGCCTTACACGCGTGAGGTCCACTGTTCAAGACGCATACAGCCCAGGTGAATGGAATATTGGTGACGTGTATCATTGTTATTACAGTACCAACATTACCCATGTTATACGGTGTACAAGTAGTAAATGACATCCAAATGCATTGGACAGGAGAAACCCAATAAGCAAACATGCATGTGACATTGATAAATACAATCAATAAATATATTAGGTAACTCGCAGGTCTTGAATTGCCTGCACAACCAGTTTCAGGAGTCTCCTGCACAAGTGCTCACGATTTGATGACGTAATCGTGCAACTTCTCTGCTTTACCACAGTCTAAGAAAGAAGATTTTTGTATTTTTTTTTTTTTGCCATGATCAGGGTAGGGATTTTAACATTAAAAAATAAAATTTGGAAATAATCTGTTGTCTGTAATGTGAGTTCTCACATTAAACAGACAAGCTGAACTGTGATTAATGAATGAGACAAGATGCACCGAACAAGCTACACTTGAGGCTGACTGACAGGCAACCATTATTCCTTCTATAATTTGTTGTTCCCTACCTTCATCCAATCCAATTCCACCCCTCTCCCCACCACTCCCTATCATCCCTTTCACTTAAACCTGCTCTCCTACCTCTCTCACCACCCAATAAGAATAGGAAACAATGTTAATAAGAATGCATATTTTTTAGGAATTCCCCACACTCCTGATACGTATAATTTAATGGAGAAACTATACAGTATATCCTACCACTAGGATATAACTAATAAACAAGTCAAATCCATAACTTTTACCTAAAGGGTAATTAATTATTTTGAAAATTCAATACGAAAAATTGCAGTATCAGGCACGGCAAAACCATAAAATGTAGACCTTACCTTATAAGGAATACCACTCTTTTTCCATTCATCTTCAAGCTCACTTGAAAAATGAATTGCATTAGGTTCACCCATGGGAAGGTCTGGCAGGGAACCTCCGAGACGGGTGGCAGAATCAGATGCACCAAAAATTTGGTCATATAAGGAGTCATCCAGATATTCCACAGGAATGGTATACGTGGTTCCATCAGTTTCATAAACTAATACATCTCCACCTTCCCCATCTTCGTCATCTGCCACTCCATCATGACAGTCCTGTGGAAGCAACAAAAACTGTCAAGTGGAAAGCATGCACTTAATTTCAGTAATTCTACAACTCCTTTTCCAAGCCAAGTAACATAAGGCATTACCTCTTAGTACTCAAAGCAATATATTTGCATATGCACGCACGTGCTAGCCAAAACAGGGAGCTAGGCAAGGACGTGCTAAGAGAAAAGTGCAAAAAGTAAATGAATTAATCTAATGTGTAGTTGTAAAAAAAGAGATAAAGAGAGAGAGAGAGCACACTGCAGATCAAAGTAAGTCCATATAAATTTTTGGGCATTTAAAAAAGGAAATACCAACTAGTATAGACAGAGCAGCAGAAGAGGAAAAAATCATTAACAAAATAGCAGGTTTAGCACAAGGCCACATAACAAATGACAATGTTAGTGATTTTAGAGGACAGTCAAATATGAAAATACAAACAAAAAAATGCCCTTTAAAGTGATATTTAATGGTGTGAAACAAATGACAGATGTGCTTAAGAATGCCAGGAAATTTCAAAATAATGAGGATAGGAAACTATGGCTAAGTCAAGATCTTTCAAAGGAAGACAGAGGTTAAAACTATACCTTGATGAAGCCAAACTTCTAAATGGGAGTACGAATGAAGTAAATTTGTTTCTACAAGGTGATTGGGGTTAAGATGCCTGTAAATTGGTACATAAAAACAAACCAACAAAATCAAAGAGAGGGAGAGTAAAGAACAAAGGGAGAGGGAACCTGTTCTTGAAAATCATGTATACTAACATTGATGAAGAGAAAATATATCGAAGTCAAACTATATATTCAGCTTAAGATGGCAGATATTGTTGCACTAATAGAGACTAAACTTGAAGATAATATTTATAATAAGGTCATATTCTCGAGGGGCGACTCAATTTCGAGATGTGACAGAAAAAGTAGAAAAGGTGGTGTTGCCATGGTGGTGAAAGAACACCAGAAGGTAAGAGAATTAATAATCGACAACCCATGAAGTTGACATAATGGCACTGCCGGTTTGTAATCAGGATGATAAACTAAAATGCCTATAGTTCACCAACAATACTGTACATGGGCAAAGTAAGATCTGGATGACAAATGAGAGGGGCTCATAATGATCATGAGAGATTATAGTAAGAGCAGATTAAAATAATCATGATTGTTGGTACTTGGTGACTTCAACTTCATATCAATAGACCTGGTGGCCTACGAAGCAACAAAGGAGGATATTTGGACTAACAGACTCATAAATCTCATCCTGGAGATATTCACATACAGTATAACACATAAGCAAGACACGAGAATGTGGGAAGGGGATGGTCCATCAATGCTGGATTTGATAATCACCAGGAAAGAAGTAGAGGTATTTGGCATTCAGTACCATCCTCCCTTGGTTAAGAACGACCATGACCTATTGGAAATAGAATTTGGAATGCATTATAACCTTATAACCTTATAATGCATTGCATGATAAGATTATAATCTTATATTGCATTATAAGCACAAAATGGAGGAAATGCTGCAGTTGAAAAGCCTAATTTTAGGAGAGGACACTATAGGGAACTTCATAAATTCTTCAATGAATTTGATTGCAGACTTTTTGTTAGATATATGAAGGCAGAAATTTTTTGTATACCAAAACAGAGATTCAGAATTAGAAAACAGGAATGTTTCAAAAGATATTGCAAGAGAGCCAGAGACAAAAAAAAACAGTGTTGAATGTAATGAAACGCCATTTTCTGGGCAAGTCCCGGAGGCTCCCCGGAGCTATACCGGGCTGATATGCATATATTAGACCATGGCATCATTCAATTCCATTTAAGTTCTTAGCCTACCTGGGACCACGAGCCAGAACTTGGCCCCCTCAAAGGCACAAGGAGCAATGCCGTATAGAAACCCCCATCTGGTTGGAAGCATTCTATGTCTGCCATCTACCGGTTTAGGCACCCAGAAAGGTAGCATCCCAAAAACTACAGCTGGTTAAAAATTGTGACTGAAAGCCGAACTAGCAAGCAGAACTCCCCAAACTGAAAACAAGCAAACAAGCATGATGTCACCATCGCCGAACCTCAGATCCATACAGTCCCGTTTCGGCACTAGATCAGGCGGGAACCCCACCTGTTGACGACGGCAGATACTGTCGTCTATACCATGCCCAAACATAACCTCTCCAGGATGACCTGACAGAGTGCAGAAGAGGCCTGCCCCACAAGCCCCGTAGGAGAAGGAGCTACCCAACGCCACTGGAGGTTGGAAGAGATGACCCAAAACGCCCACGAATTGTGGGACCAGGCATGGGCAAACAGGGCAAATAGGGCAAATAGGGCGAGCCCCCCCCCCTCCCCAATCAACAGGGCGAAACATGAAAGGGCTGACAACCTTTACGAGATGCCGAACGACGTGCAGAGCGAGCGCTGACCGCACGCCTTCAGCTCCGAAGGAGGGGCCGGCCCCGAATCTGGCCCACTACGACCGAAGGAACCCCCGAACCCTGGCACGACCCTTCTGAGCAGGACCCCCCTCCACGAAGAATCAACAAGTCCAACATGGGACGGCAACTAGACGAAGCCATCTGCAGATACTGCACAACCGCAGATGCTGCAAACAGTAAAGGGCAAAAAAGGGATGAAAATCTAAGGGCCAGGGCCCTAGCAGATTCCAAAGAGTGAGCAAGCGAGGCAAGAAACGGACATGCATATTTCCCCACTCATTTCACACACATGCAGACTTACCTCCAAGTCATGAGAACCAGAACCTTGAGGTCCCCACTCAAAGCCATCATTAAGCTCCCATCCAGGTGCTAGGTCATCCAGGTTCTCACGCTCCACATCATCACGCAGCATCACTCGAGTTTTGCATAATGGGCTGCTAGAATTTGTAGTCTTACTCACAGGGTTCCCTGAAGAATATTTTTTTAAGCGTTCATGCAGTGGTTCAGGAAATTGACCATCTGCAGCCATAGCCTGACTACTTGGATGCACAGTGTGAGAACTGGCAGTCTGGGCATGAACTGCTCCCAATAGCTCATCGGCCTCTTTGTCTACTTCCAGCCGTAATTCAGTGCATGCTCCTAGTGCATCTGTGTGTGCACCTACAATGACACTCCTGTCAGGAGAAAAAGTATTAATTAAATAATGAATTATAAAATAATCAGATGTAGTTAGGTATTTCATACTATAACGAGTACTATGAACAGAAATGCTATCATTATCAGCAAATTAAATAATGCTGTCATAGTGAACTTAACCATTATGATCATGACTAAGTGGAAATTGTAAATTCAATAAATTGTCATGAAGGCTTTACTAATAATACTGACATATCATACCTTTTTTTAATGATATCAGAGTGCAGATTTCGTTGCTTGCTTAAAAGTGATTTTTCTGACCAAATTTGGTCTTTTTTACTATTAACACATTTCTCTACATTGACTACAGGTTTCCATGGTCCTACTTCTGCTAGAGCAGACGTTACATGACAGTTATCATGGAATTTTCCAGGAATATATGTTGTGGGATTTGTTATAATAAACATATTGGCCCTGCTTGTATCAGGCTCTGAATCCTCATTAACATGCTCGGTGCAGCCACTCCAAAGTGCCTGAAGACTATTCAAGGGTGACGGATAGGTTGGAGATGCTGGAGAGCTGCTATGATGCCAGAGAGAAGCTAGAGAAGTTGGGACAACAATTGCTTCAGACTTATTACTAATATTTGATTTGAGTGGAGGTTCAAAGTGCCCTTCATTACTCCACCCAGTAGCTCCTTCCCCCTCTCTTTCAACCCATGCACTCCCTTGAATTCCTTGACCTTCTGTGTCATTTAACCTTGGCCAAGCATCCTCCCTATCCTGCTCCATTTGGATTTGCCAAATGTTGTGCGAATATGCCGCTTCAGGGAGCTGCGGTTCACTTTTCCATAAATTTGCCAAATTATTACTATCTGGAAAATCTTGATGTTGAAACTCAAATACATCTGGTTCTTGTTCGTCTCCTTTATTTCTAAAATGATCTTTACAACGCTTTTTTTCACGAAAGGCCATTTTTTTCATGTTAATACTGAAAGAATGTTTTTCGCTATGTAAATTTGCTTCCTCAGTTTGACAAAATTTTTCGTTGTTAACTACTTTGAATTTTGGAACTAGCGCAATAACTTTAAAATTTCCATGAGTAATAACCTCTTGTTGTTCTTCTGTGTGTATTATCTTGGGTACTGGCTCTTTATACACCATATACTTCTTTGGTGACCCTTCCAAAAGATCACTCTCAAGAAACAATGTTCCACTACTAGTTCGTTGGAATGGTAGATCAGGACGTTCAGAATCAACAACGAACATGGTTCCATCCTCATAGTGATCATCTGCTGTACTACCCATACTGTCTTGTCGAATTGGTCGAAAGTGCGTACGAGGAGAAGTTAACAAATTTTCCTCTTCCTGGGTGGTTGTTACAACATCAACGTTTTCACACACTTCAGTTTGACTTGACGTATTGCAATCCAACTCAATTATTACATTATCTGGCACCTGTTCCAGAGATGAGTTTGGTTCTACACTTTTGCCACGAGGAATAACCATTGAGAAGCCACTGTTTTCTGTGTGGCGAAGGTCAGCTTGAGGACCACTTGGCCCTGATGGCATTTGCTTAATACTATTATTATCAGGAATCGATTCTTCCTGAGACTCGTAGCTCTTACATACATCTTCTACAAGCGCCATCATTTTTTCATGTTCTGAATCTGTATGACTATCCTGTATTACTTCTTCAAAACTATTATTTTCTGAGACACATTCTAAATTACTATTACTTACACTAAGTTCGGCAAAAACACCTTCCAAGCCTAATGTATTTTCCCATATATTTTCCAAGCCCAATTGCATGAATGATTCACATAACTTATTCTCTAATTCTTCTGTTGTGTGACACTCCCCTTTGTTTTCTTTGTATCCTCCCAAAGAATTACTTATTTGATCATCCATGCATACTAGAAGAGTACTTTCATTACCAGAAATATTATTAGCATTACAGTCTGACCAAATAGACTTCTCCAAACTATTGTGCAAGTGAAGAAGGGTGCTAGCTTCTTTCATAGAATTTTCTTTAAAATTACAGATGGGGCTTTGACTTGATATGCTGCACAAAAGTGGATCCTCTTCAGTTATTGGGTTTACTGCATGCCATGAATGGTTATGATGCCAATCATCATTTATGGGTGTGAATGGTTCTTGGATAATTTCATTACAATGGCTATTCTCTATGGGGTTTGAATCATGTGTATTATGATCTGTAAGACTCAAGCCCCATATAGTCGTGTAATTTACCATTTCCTGCACTGCTGGAGGATCCCATACACGTTCTCCACATCCATGACCTAGAGATTCTCCTCCCTGACCCCAAACTTGTGCCACAGAATCAGAAATTTTCTGCTCTAACTGCCTCATACTCTCTGCTTCCTGGGTTTCAACATCACTACTCGAGCCACTAGTACCATCTGAAGTACTGCCACGTTCAAAAAGTCGGCTCCCTCCTCCTACTCCTTGCAGACTTTTTCCTTCATTGTCACTAGTCCCCAAGAGTAGATCTCCCATACATTCCCACTCTTCTTGGCTCATTTTTCCTTTCTCCAAATTTACAAAATTTGAAGATCTATCTAATTTATCATCTCTTGACTTCTCTATATCTTGGTCCCCTTTATCTCTGTCTTCAGAGCTTTCACGAGAGCTGGTGTCACCAATGTATCCTTCTCCAATATCCTCATCCAATAGGGGTCCCATGAATTTTTTGCGTCGTCTCTCTACATTTCTTTCTGGTTCGGAGGCACTATCAGTATCACAGCTTTCATTTACTTGTGCTTCCTTATGTTTACTAGTGTTAAACCATGTGAATGGAACCAGGTGCCGTCGAGATCCTGTATGACTGACTATCCCATCAAATTTTGCCTCCCCTTCCTTTTTCTCCTTTTCACGGCACTTCTTACGGTATGTTCGAGGCATTTTGATGGTGCTGGATTGGATGTCTTCAATATGTGAAGCCAATGAGGATGTTTTACTCTCCCAGACACATGAGCAGAGTGCATCTCCTGTCTTCCATGGCTTTTCCCTGACACAGTTTTTCTTGCAAAATCCACTTAGAGGTGGAAAGGCTGCATAGTACCTGTGAATACCCAAGTTGGCGTAAACTTAAATTCATTGCTTTTTGTTCACTTAACTTAATTTGGTCACCTTTTATCCTCTGTACAACAAAAACAGGAACACTATGTACTTATGGACAAAGATATTAATTAAAATATAAATAAATGATTTAGCAAAAGTTTAGGATACACACAGGCATTATTTTCTTTTAAAACACATGACAAATATTCAAAATTATTAATTTAATATAATGTATAACAAATTCGTCACATTTTTATGAATACAAATGATATACATTAAACTATAAGTCATATCAACATACCAAATTCTGCAGCCTTTGACATTAAAATATAAAATGACCCCTCGGGAAGAGAGGTAAAATAGAGAAAAATAGGCCAGAGAAAATATTGAACTGCTGCTTTCATAAGGTCTTGTAATTGCTCTCCCAAGACATGTACTTAAATGAGCCACCCAAACCACACAAACATGCCAGGCACCGTCAAACTGCTCCTTCAGAATAACACATCTTTGCTTACAACGACCAAACTGCAACTCAGAAGATGGAGAAGTGATGACGTTTCAACCTGATAATGGTCCAGGATTGACCGAAATGTAGTCGCTTCTCCATTTTTTGAGTTGCGATTTGGTCATCATTTCTTCAGCCACCTTATTGTGACTCATCGTGTGCACATCTTTGCTAATGTTTCTGACACGTAAAATGAGGAAGACAGTGAAGATTTTTTTTTATCAACACCGAGAAATAAGCTCATTACCACACAAAAGAAAAAATATAACTTTCAATTCCTCTTGTAAGCAAAACCTTGGATTTAATAAGAAAACCAATTATCACTGCCAATTAATGAACAGACCTTTAGGCACTAGATACAAGCACAATATTTAAGCATGGTCGGGAAAGCCAGAAATCCTTGCTTGACAACCCAACACTGAAAAAGCTTAACAAAAGGAGAGGGAATGAGATAGAGACACCACTCAGAACTTATAATTTCAATACTCTCAACATCCTATTTATGAGGTAACCCCCATGGTTGCTCCCATGCCAACTCCATGGAGGATAGGACAAGCATGAAACAAGAGAAACTAACATAAGATGGGGAAAAAAATCCCCCCCGAGTACTATACTTCTGGGGAACATATGTGTGGGGAAAAAGCCCATTGCTGGTTAATCAACCCACAAAACAAATAACCTGAGATGCAAGATTTAGTACTGTATAGGAGACCAAGAAGTGCAATTGGGCAAAGTATCCAAACCAGAAGCTTGAAAGGTTATAAGGAAGCTGTGCAAAGCCACCAGTGGGCACAAGGTACCTTATCTTACCTTGCGATGAATTTGGGGCTCGGCATCACTGCGGCCCGATCCCCAACCAGGCCTCCTGAACGGTGAACACATCAAACATCAAGAACATAAAACTATAACTGAACAACACTGAAGCTTCAATGGTAGGAGGGAATCATTCTTGAATAATGCAGATTTAGAGAGATCAAGAAAGAAATACGAAAGAAAATTTGGCGGCCATGACTGTCAGTGACCCGAGACACAGACAGCAATGTATCAATGTATGTAACAAAAGCAAATATAATTCTTGGGTTTATAACCAGAAGCATCAGCAATAAATGCAAAATCATCATCCTCCAATTATATTTAACTCTTGTGAGGGCATACTTACACAATGCCATACAATTCAGTGACACAAAGATCCTCAAGGAAATACAATGAAGGATGACAAGTCTGTACCCATGCTATTCAGGACCTCCCATACAGAGGCTAAGAGTGCAAACCATGTATTCCCTAAAGAGTTGCAGGGCATAGGGAGACATGATTGAAGTCTTCAAATGGATGACGACTATCAACAGGCAAGGTCTTGGATCTATCAGACCAGGTCAGAACTCACAATAATAGTGGCACTCCAAAAATTCCAACCCTGATACAGCAGATTTTGCAAATATGGACCAAACCTGTCCACCAGACTTTTCCTATGAATTCAAATTACAAGATCCAGATTTCATGGCAAACATGACGAAATCCAGATTTTGTGTGGAACATGGTGAAATCCTCATCAGTTTACATGGCAGGATTATTTGCAAAGCTACCTGACATGGTGAAAGAGTGGTCGACAGACCCTTATTTATTTTGTGGTCTGGGTGGACCATATGAACAGATTATCTTTGAAAGAGTAATTTACAGAGATGAAAGAAATGAGGACTGTGTTGCCTGTATTTAACATTACCCTTTACTGCTCAATTCTTATAACATTGGTTATTAATCTTTTGTATAGTGTTGTGTATAATTATGAAAAGTTGGGGAAGATTATGTATGCACTACCCCCATTTGAATAAGGAAAAAGAATGAGCAATAGAACAACCAGCATTAAACGTAATGAAATGCCTCTTTCAGAGGGGGAGGGGGAGAGTGGCCTCTGGCTCCCTCTTACTAACAGCACTGAGATAGCTCCAAAATGAGTCACATCAGCTCTAGGATTCCTTAAAAGACCAGATGTCAAAATCTGGGCCCCTTAATGCAGGAAGCAGGGAATTCTATACCACCCTCACTAAAGAAACACCCACAAAAATGTAGCAAAGCAGAACAGACAACTACAAAGTTTACAGAAAGTAAACAAACGAAGCTGCCAACAACTCCACAAATGATCCACCCAGTAGGATCATTTGAAGAATAACCCCTTCTAGTTACTGTTGGCCACCAGCAGCTGGTAGCACCATGGAGGTAGCAAGCTACCCCATCATTAATAACCAGACAGAAGCTCGAGACCAGCCAGCACACCCGGTAGAGACAGGGTTTATGGAGCCACTGGGGGTGACCCCCCCCTCCCCTCCCCAAGAAAGAAGCATTTCATTTAATTTACTGCTGGTTTTCTTTTGAGGCTGAATGATGGGTCTATTGCTAACTAACCCCAGATAACAGAAGAATAGGACTCAATGGGGAAGAGGAGAGAAGGGATCAAACCCCTAAAAAAAGACTTGAATGGGTAACTACTCAGGCAACACCTGCCAGACTAGGACTAGGGAAAATAACCAGGTGACGAGCTGGCATTACTAAGTTCTCCAAAACCCCAAGCCCGGATATCTGCCCAAGACATGTTAGAAAAATGGAACAGACATAGCCGTAGACTTTCAAACATCATGAGCCCGAGGGTAAAGCACAGGCTGGAGAGACTTAATGACACTGGACGACCTGAGATGAATAAGCCTTGGAATAGGAGACAAAAAACTGAATCAATGAATAAAGCATCCCGTAAAGTAGACGAGTCATACACAGAGAAAAACAGACACCACCGTGTACAACAAATGATGCACCCCTGATTGAACAAAATAATTGTTAACAAATGATCCCTTCAGAAGGCAACCATCTCATTTTTTTGCCAGAAAAGGCAGCTGCAAGCAAAGAATTCATTCACCAGGGCTGAAAAAACAAAACTCATGTTTTTTGTCAGGAACATGAAATTCCTAAACTCTACAACCAGGAATTATAGGCCAACAAAATCAAAGCCTTGAAAAAGGTATCCTGGACTGAAGGAACATCTGGGAATCGAGATGAAAGAAAAACCAACAGCCAATCCAGAGACCAAGATGGCTTGGGTAAAAAACAAGCCAGAGGTGAAAAATGCATGAAATAACTTACAGAACAGTGCCGAGGAAGTATCAAGTGGTTCCGCCAAGGCCAAATGATAAGCAACAGCATTGGGCAAAAGATCCTGATCAACAAACACTAGACAAAAAGGACAGGACCAATGAAGCAGTTAGCAAACAACAAAGACACACATAAGAGTGCCAATAAACTTCCCATTGTCTCGCATCAAATGACGTATGGTAGGGCACCAAGTGCTCGCCAACCTGTGCACCATACAAATTGTGACATACAGTACCAGCAAACTACTACTAGGCATCATCAACCGCGGAGTTTTATTGGCCTACCTTGAACCAAGAGCCAGAACCTGACCTCCGCAGACACAAAGGAAGCGATGGCCTATGACCACTTTACATTTAAAGCTTATTATCCTTGCCACCATCCAAAGGAAGGCCTTCAGTAAGATAGGCGAATCAAGAGTATGGTTAACCCGTACCTTACAACCACAACCTCAAAAGTATCTTATTATCAGCAACGTGTTTATACAATTCTGTATTCCTTCTGGTAGATCACTTATATTTATTGGCACAAGAAATGAACCCTGTGGTACTTCGCTAGTAACACTCCTCCAGTCAGATACATTGCTTCCGATTACTGCTCTCATCCTTATCAGAAAATTTTTCATCTGTGTCAGCAGTCTCCCTGTCACCCCTCCAGCATGGTCCAGTTTCCAAAACAACCTCTGTTAAAGCTTTTTTTTTTTAGGTCCAGATATATTAGTATTTACTGTAGAATCTCTGTGGCTATATCATAAAAACTAAGTAAATTTATTACACAGGCTCTTCCAGTTTGAAAACCATATTGTTTGTTATTATGTCATTACTCTGCAAGTGTTCTACTCATTTGGTTTTAACTATTTCTTCTAGTGTTTTGACTACCATGCTTGTTAATGAAACGGGTCTATAATCTCTGCTATCATTTTTGTAGACTGGAACAATGTTTGCCTTTTTCCAAATATCTCCTAAGATTCAGAATGCTTAGCTCAGTTGCACATTCTCTCAGCAGCCAAGGTGAGACTCCATCTGGTCCAACAACTTTATTTCTTCCTAGCCTCTTGAGTAAATTTTCCACCTCATCTTGAAACACCTTTATGTACTCTATGGCATTTTCTGGAATTGACATTGTGTCTGGTTCTCTGGAAACCTTGTTTTGCACAAATACACTTTGGTAGTGTTCATTTAGTGTTTTGCACATCTCTCTCTCTCTCTCTCTTTCTCATTCTCTGTGAACCTGTTGCCTATTCTCAATCTCTGGATTTTATCATTTACATACAGCTTGCTTTAAATGAATTTATAGAAAAGGCCTGGATCTGCTTGACATTTGTCTGCAACCCCTTTCTCACAGTTCCTGTCTGCCTCTCTCCACTGTTTTATATTTGTTTCTGGCTTGTATGTAATGATGCTATGATTGAGGGTTAGGCCTCTTCCTATAGTGTACCAATTTTCTTGTCTTTTCTTCTCAATTTCTGTTGAACAAATCCTGCTTTCTGGTTCTGCATTTCTGTTCTTGTATATATGCTTTTGTATCCTCTTCATACATTTCACAGAATTTGGCATATATCTGTGAATGGGATGTGAAATCCTTAAGGAGTCAAGTAGAGAAGAAAGATCTGGGGGTCAATTTCACAATGAACCTGTCCCCAGAATCCATATCAAAAGGATATCATCAGCGGTATATGTTAGATTGGCCAACAAAAGAAATACCTTTAGAAATTTGTGCAAGGAATCATTCAGAACCTTGTATACCCCATATGTCAGACCAATCCTGGAGTATGCAGCTCCAGCCTGGAGTCCGTATCTAGTTAAACCCAAGACAGAGAAGATTCAGAGTATGTTTCCAGACTGGTCCCAGAACCGAGAGGTATGAGTTATGAGGAATGGCTACGAGAATTAAATCTCACGTCCCTGGAAGACAGAAGAGTTAGGAGACACATGATCACCACCTACAAAATTCTCAAGTGGAACTGACAGGGTGGACAAACTATTTAGCATGGGTGGAATCTGAACATGGGGGAACAGGTGGAAACTGAGTGCCCAAATGAGCCACCGAGACATTAGAAAGAATTTTTTCAGTGTCAGGATTGTTAACAAATGGAATGCATTAGGCAGTGATGTGGTGGAGGCAGACTCCATACCCAGTGTCAAATGATCTCAATGATTTTTATCTCTTCCGCTGCTGCTGTTCTCCCTAGATGTTAACTTCTTTTCCAAGCCCCAGAAAATTATTATGGGCATACTTCTATCTACAGTGTTCTGTACTAATTTACTGATTGTGACAAGTTCGTAATTGATTGCCTAATATTTGATTCTTGCCGCTCATTCCTATTTTTTTACTTCCAAACATATTACTTCAATTGTGTTTTTCTTTTTCTTTTACAACCTGTGCATGTTTCTTTTGATTTCCTCTTAATACTGCAGCAATCCTTGAGTAACTTCCTCTACTTGATCTCTCCATGAAGTGTCCCTAGAGCTGTCCTTGCTTAAGGCTAGCAACAGGAAGCCACCATTTGGCCCCTCCAGAAAGGCATTACAATAAATGTCTGCAAAAATTTTCCAAAATGAAAATGGTATAAAATTGTAAATGTAATTATTTCAAAAGACTACTCTTACTTTTCAGCCTGTTCCTCTGGTGTAGATGAAGATGCATAATCATCTATGTCATTACTACTATCCTGAGAGACAGTATTCAGAGTAATGGCCTTTTCCTTATTACTACATGTAGGAGTAATATTAGTCGCATTAAGGTGCACGTTCTCAGCTGCAGTTTTCAAGCGTGAACAAAGTTCTTCCACCAGACTTTCTAGGTCATAACGCTGCAAATAAAACACACATAAGAGCCTACTAATTCAGAAGAACAACAAAATACTGAGAAATGAAGGTAAAACAAATATTAAAACATTCAGTTCACTCAACATTATCTCAAAATTCAGCACATACAAAGTTTTGCAGAGGTTCAAAAAATACGGTAGGGGCCTTTTTTATTTTTAACTTGTGGGGGGAAGGGAGGGGACCTGGCAATGACTTTTGAGATTAGCTGGCACCATATTATACAAGCTTTACCTCATCAGAAGCAGACATGAGGCACTGGAGAGCTGCCACCTTCTGCAGTTGCTCTGAGGTCAGAATACGGTGTTTTTGGCGAACCTTGTGGCGCTTACGAGCACGACGACTTCCTCCACGCTACAAGGGTAGGCAAAACCCTCAACGTAAATTGATAACGTTGTCCTAACTAGACTTGACTTATGCTTTGTGATATATATCTGCAAATCTTAAAATGCCTTTCTTCTGTACATACTGCATATAGATTACTGCATTTTTATGAGTGAAAATTAAGTCAGCTAATTCCTTTCTCTAAACAACTATTCACTTTAACAAGCATTATCCATAAAAGTTGTTAGATAGTAACTCTTAAAAATAAGTAACATTATATATGTACAGAATATATGCAAGCACCATATAGTAGTTTCTTGCTTGTTAGTATTGCTGGTATATTTGAGGGCTTGTCCTCTTCCTGTATTAATAAAATTTCTTTGTCTTTTGTTATCTGGCCCTCTCACAATTTCTGTTGAACCTATCATGTTTCCTAGTTCTGCATCTCCATTTTGCTATTAATTTTGCCGCTTTAAAAAGTACACGCTTTCAGGAAATTAGATTGACAGAAGAACAATCACTGGCACTCAAATGGTAGAAAGCACAAATTTACAGAGCTATGACATGTTTAGAACTGAGAATAAGAGGGAATGACCATGAGCTACTCTATCCTTTTGAGATGTATCTTATTGTCTCAATAAATGTACTTGAACCTGAAGTAAAACAGGGAACAATGCCCCGCCTCATAATGGCAACGAGGTGGGGCATAAAGAACTACATCTCACTCTCCTATAGTCACTGATAAGTAAGCGCAGCACAAAACATCCACTAGATAGTGCGACATTGCCAGAATTAAGCTGGGATATCAATACTTATGGCAGGTGGTTACAGGAAATGAATCCCCTAATGGCAAGCATTTCAATTTTAAACTATGTGAACAAGAGCTACGACACACTCTAACACTATTTGCGAGTGCCCTTTTAAATGACGTCAGACCAAATGGTGAGAGATACTTTGAGCTCTGCAATTACTGTACTTCATACACTCATGAAATAGTAGAAGATATTCTTGTGCTCTACCCAGAATTTGCTAGTGCACATTAATAAAATAGACTCGCATCTCGTTTTTCTCCTAATTCCATGTATGACTAACCACCCTGTGAGCTGGGGATATTAAGTGAATTCACAGTTAGCTTTTGATCTATACTCTGTAATACTTCATATAGAATTGGGTAGCAGCACATTGTACACTTCAGCTTGTTAATAAAAAAAAAAAAAAGCATCAAATGTAATGAAATGCCAATTTCGGGGTGGGACCTGGTGGCTCCCAGAAGCTACTATTGTATACCGACATACAGTATTGCCAAACTACTAGGCGACATCAGTCGCGAAGTTCTTATTTGGCCTACTGGGGACCATGAGCCAGAATCTGGCCCCCTCAGAGGCACAAAGAGCAGTAGCACCTGTATATATAAATAAATAAATAAAAAAAAATGTTGTTGACTGGACGAAATCTCACCATGGATTACCTTGCAGCTACCTTGCATTGATTACGGAGGTCAAGGTCCCGTGGCCGAGTCTCTGACCAGGCTGTTGGATGTGGCTGCTTGCAGCCTAGCGTATGAATCACAGCCCGGTTGTTCAGGTGGTATTTATCAAGTTCTCTCTTGCACACTGAGAGGTCTGCCAGTTATGCCCCTTATGTGTAGTGTTAGTATGTTGAACAGTCTCGGGCCTCTGATGTTGATGGAGTTCACTTTCTGAGTACCTATTGCACCTGTACTTTTTAATGGGGGTATTCTGCACATACTGCATGCCTTCTGATCTCATGTGATGCTATTTCTGCGTCAATTTTGACACACTGGGGACCCACACCAGCCAGTCGTTGAGGCAAGATAACACACAAACCCTTAACAAATGCAGCTTGGCCATAATGACCCATGTTAGCCTGGTGAATATGTGGGGGGATGGGGGGGGGGCCAGGTTTGAGCTGAAAGGAAGAACCCTGAAGTGGCAAGCATTAAGCCCCACAACCAAACCTAACCAGACCCTGAAATCCAAACGAATAGGGACGTGCCAATATGTATCATGGCGGTCCTCGGACACCAAGCAAGCCAGTAGTAGCAGGCAAACTTTGGCCAAAGTGGTCATGCACAAGGTCGAGCAAGGAAGGAAGCCATTCAGGCCCGAAAGATCAAGAATGTATCGGAGGTTCGGCAAGTCCCGCTTTGTGATTGGGAACACCAACCAAAGGGACAAGGTAGAGTCAAACATGACTACGACATGAACATGTCGGGACTCTGAACCGAGTTTATCAATCTGCAATGACCCGATGCAGTGTGGTAGGAGGATTCCTGATCCAGCAGACCTGATCCTAAATACAGGTGTGGGGAAGCAGCCAGCAAGGACCAACCAGCCCCCCACCGAAGGCATGAAAAAGGGCAGCACGAGAATGCTGCCACCAAAACAACCTGTGCCACAGCATCCCCGGGAAAAGAGGCAAGTTAAAAATGGGGACTGGCCAAAAGGGCAAGAGACTAAGCTGAATCTAAAGAATGGGCCAGCATGACCTATTAACACTAACCTTATGATTTTCACCACCTTGAGCATGTTTCCAGGAACTGATGCTTAGCACTCATCCTGGTCACTTCTGTGCTTAGAGATGGGCATAAAAAAATGGCACCACTGCCTCCCAAAGCAGAGGGGCGAGCATTTTGGGCAAGGCTGCCAGGGCTGAAACTGCACGGTCTCCGTCCATGGAACAGACACTAACAATAACACACACTCACAAGAATGCTCAGGAAGTCCTCCACAAGAACCCAGACATGCAAGATCTCTGCCAGGTATGAATGTGCCCTGTGATCTTCTGCAATAAGGATCCCTTATTGGATCCCTCAAACTGCAACCACTAAGCAGAGGCAGATCCATACTCAAAAAGAAACCTGGACCATCAGAGAAAAAGAAGTCTGAGCTGTGCAGGAGGTACCAAAGCAAATCTGCATAGACCACCAAAGGCACTGTGTGGGAGTATGGGAACTTGGGGATAAATGACAAATCCTGGGTACAAAACCAGATCCGTAATCGAGCGAGGGGAAGCAACCAAGCAATCTAACTCATACTGTACATAGGAGGAGGATATGAAAAATTGCTCCCCCCCCCTCCCCAAAACATAATACCCTCTGTGGTGGGGACCAATTACCACAAACACTGAAAGACACCCCAAGGACATGCCTTGGGCTCCTCCTCAGCCCAAAAGCCTACCACTGAGGCCCTGGAGCAGAGCCAAAGTCCTCGCCCAACACCTGAGAAAGGAAGGCATCCTCCAAATGAGATGCAACAGGGTAAGAGTGGTGGTTGTGAAGGTAAATGCCCAAATCCTCAGCAGGACTGGGAGGCTCTACTACCTCTGCCACTATCCTGGAAGGGGGATCACCCCCCAGAAAAGGCCGAGCTACACCCCAAAACCCTGACCTGACTCTGAGACCCTCGGAAGCTTTGGAGCCAGAACCAAGGGTAAAGAACTGAAGCAAGATGCACCACACCCACAGGGGAACAAAGAGGTGGTGCAGACAGTCCAGGTGGAGGTAAACAACACTTACAATTCTGGGTACCTAAAAGTACAACAGATGTCAACTCTGGGGCAACCAACTTATCAATATGCTGTCAATGCTTAACATGGCAAACTTATCCCATACAGTTGCAGCTGCTTTGAAAGACTCCAATTGGGAGGCAGAATCGGTTAATACAGAGGCCGCAGTGAGAGCACACACCTCAGAGGACTCTGGGTCGTAAGTGTCACCAACCCAACAGGTAAGGGCAGAATGATGATCATCAGGTAGCAAAGACAACGAACACCCCTCAAACTCTCTCAGTGAGGTTGGGCTCTAAGGGATGTTCCATACAGACCACACTAGAGACCCACAAGGAATTCCCTGGGTCTGAATGAATTTATCCAAAAAGAATCCCCAGGCCACTTGCCGGAAGAACAGACCCCTAACTGCAGCCTAAAACACCAGGCTATAGGACTCAACTGCAGCATGCCATGTAAAGAAATGCACAAACCCCAGTGTGTCCCAACACAACGTAAGAAACCCCCCCCCCCAATCCATGGGGCCTAAACAGAGGAGTCCACAATTCCTGAATAGCCCAAGGAGAGGCTCCCCATCCCAGTGGTCAGACCTCTCAGAGGGCAAACTCCCGAACACAACAGACAAGGGGAAACTCTGGCTGTGCAAGGGACAGTGTTAGTAGGCCCACAGGGAGGAGAACCCTGAATACATGCACTCTGAAAAACCAAACAAAGCAAATCCACTCAAGCCAGAATCAAAACATGCACGTGAAGCCTACGTTAAAACTGGAAACCATACCTAAAGTATATGACCCCCACCAAAACCAACTCCAAGGATGGCCAGCACTCGGCTTAAAGCTTCAGGGCTTACCCCACAAGCTGATGTGACGTGCTACAAGCTACACCTACAAGCAGGTGTGAAGACCAGCAGCAAAAACAAAACCAACTTGAGCCAGCTGGGAGCCTGGGCTGGGCCATCTAGGAGTGATAATTGGTACTAACAAGTTTGGAGCTTGAGTGAATCCCTTCTTCTGTGTGAATCATTTGCAAAGTTATTTGGCAGTTTCGAGGCTTAGTTTTCCGTGAACTCTCCAATTGTCTGTAAAGTTATTCCGACTTTCTGGAGGCTTTTTTTGGTGGGGTGGTGGATTGTCACTAACATCTTGTGCCTCTGTGAGGGGACCAAGTTCTGGCTCTGGTCCCTGGTAGGCCAAACAGAACTTCTACAACTGATGTAACTTTTTGTATGAAGCAATCTCAAAGATAGCTTCAGGAAACCATGTGGGGGGGGGGGGTTCCTCCAGAAATGGACTGTTTCATCCATAAAGTTCATGTTTAGTACTAATAATTTTGCCGAGAGCACAAGAATATGCTATCAAATGCTGTGTGTATTAATGTTTAGGCATAGTATGTACTAGCTATATCTAGAAATCTAACATTATACTTAAAACACATTTTGAATGTATGTACTTTTACCTGACCAAACATTATCATTATCACAGAAAGGCACCATCCAATCCTATACTTTCCTAGTCCTAGTATAGTATACAATGTTTCAATTATTTTTTAGCACACTATTTAGAGTTTTCCAATGGTAGACAACACAAACTTTTGTGGGTACAACAGTCCATTTTTGTACATTTGCCCAATAGTTGCTGAAAATACTATCATTTTTGGAGGATGTTTGTAACTCCTGTACAGCTGAGAAGAATTGTGGATTTGTACCTGATGTTGTCTATTTGTGATTCCAACATGTCAGGAGTAATTTTATTTTATACAAGATTGTCTGCTTTTACATTATCAGTATGTATTGGCATATAATTTGCACACACCTTCCACATGTAGAAACTTAGATCATATCCAGAGCTTGCTTTAGACTTGCATCTGGCCATTGTCCTGAATGACAGGGTCTTTAGTAGAGGCAAAATATATATTGTACAGTACTTGATAAACATACCATTGCAGCACCATATTCCAAAACTTGATGCATGAAGGTAATGATATTTATTCTGTATCATGCAACTATTGTACTCTACAGCCATTAAATAATGCTCTCCATTGCAAAATATATTTCATGTACCTGTTGTGGTGTGAAGGACAATAGATCAGGAAGATCAGCGTCTGGGTGAGTAGTGTGACCTAATAGGTCATCCAGGTCCAAATCACGCAAGTCAAAGTCATCCAGGTGGCGGCGAGAGAGTGGGTGGTGATAGTGACCAACAATGTTGCCAGAACAGGTGGTAGCATAGATAGGTGTTGTAGGAGCAGGGTGGGGGCAGTAATGGTGGTGGAGGAGGGACAGGAGGGTGTGCGCGTACGTGGGGCCTGGGATTCCGCGTTCCTCCAATTCCCCACACAGCCACTCCACCACCAGTGATGGTGCCCACTCACACCGTACAAGCTTCATAACAACTGTTCATTAGAGAGAGGGCAATAAAAAATCAATAAAAAAAAATTTAATTTAAAATCCACAATCAATTACAAACACTGCCTGATGGGAATCACATTTTAGCTAAAAAAAAATATATACATTCACTCAGTATATGCATATATATTGTATAATAGGGGTACTACTGTAAATGACTGACAGAATATCTAGAATCTGCTCCTGAGTGAATTCATCTACTTCAAGTCAGTCACTGAACATAAAAAATATACAAGCCACAAGCAACTGCATGGAATTCTTTGATTACTCTCCAATAGCATACTGTACTTGACCCTCAAATGTGGTTATCATATGCTGATTCATGGGGTAATGCAGTTATTACCATATGCTGATTTATACTATTATTGACTTGGTTTTATACCAATGATGCAAATATAGATATATGGTTGTAATGAAGTATATACCAGGTAAACCAATTGTCATTTAAGCAGACTGTAATAATAACGGAACTACGGAAGGCCTATTGACCTATATGAGGCAGCGCCAACTTACAGTATATCCACCTCAACTCATTCATATACAGTATATATGAATGACAATTACCCATGATAATGGTCGAGGATAGAACAAAATGTTGTCAATTCTTTAATTTTCATTTTTGTGCAGTGGATGTTAATACAATATAGTAATGAGTAAAGGTTGATATAAATAAAAGCTGCCTCATATGTGCCAATAATAATGGCTCAATCTTTTAATAATGTTATTAAATCAGTGGGACTAGTGTTGTTACCATTAGAATTATATTTATCAATAATAATGGAAGGTAAGACTTCTTCAAATTTGTAGTGTGGTTTGGTCAACATTTTTCAGCCACGTTATTGCGATTCTTCATCTGCAACCAATTACTGCATGACATGGTGAAGGTGGGGGTCCCTTGATTGTTTCAAGTGTGGGTTGGATATGTACATGAGTGGGTTTGTTGTTGTTTTAGATTTTGCTACTCAGAACGAAGTGTCCATGTAGCACGGGCTATGGTGAACCCATAAGCAGACATGAGTGGGGGATGAGTGGTTATAAATAGGAGCAGCCTCGTATGGGCTAACAGGCCTTCTGCAGATACCTTTATTCTTATGTATATGTATAAGTAAGAAAATAATCTCCAAGAGGAAAGCAGATGGCTTAGGGGGGCCCATATGAGGCAGCTCTTATTTATATCTGCCAAAATTCATTAATATATGGGCCCATTCACCCATAAATGAAAGGATATAAATGAGACCTGCCTTGTATGGGCCAATAGGCCTCCTGCAATCCCATTTGTTCTTATTTCTTATTGAAACATACATACAAACGCACATATATTCAATGATACATTCATTCATTATAAGCCTAAATACATTATCCTTATACTGTAGCCAGTAATGTACTCAATCTACGTTTTTGTTAATTACACGAACATAAATCTAGTTAAACACATTAAAGTGAATGAACTAAAAAGTTAAAAGATGTTATTGTTTATATTACTGTACATATCAAGACATCACTCAAAATAAAATATAGTACAGTAACTCAAAATTCTCATAGTACAATACAACAAAATATCTTCATAACATTAACTTGTCCAAAATAGAGATTCACTAACCTTAAACGCTTCAGTTGATGGAAGAATACCAGTCGTTTTCATTTCGTTCTCGTGAAAATAGGTTGTGTGTGGGAAAAGTAAATGGCTAGCTGGTACAGTGTGTTAACTAATTCAAAGATTAAGTAGGTTGCAGAATAGGATTAAGAAGTTTTAATAAAAGCAGCCGAGAACAGCGGAAATTAAAATGCAACAAAGCAAAAAGAAAATGCTGCTGGGATGTATTACACTTAGCACATAGTGAAATGCCAAGAAAACTTCTCAATCTAGAGCCCAAAAACACAGGCTCTAGACGAGAGGTGTTCTTCTGGTAGCAATGGAGACAAGACTCCCCTCAGTGACAGAACCACAGATGGGTCTGAAAAACACGAGGTAACTGCTACAGCAGTTTTGTAGCACAACCTGCTCAGTGGATTTCAGCTACTAAAGGAAATATGAAGTTAATATGCCTAAGAATGTAAGTGCCCTTGAAGCTCAGTGACCAATAAATATTTGGTTGACACGAGCTTCTGGGCCGATGTTACAGTGGCCCAGAAGACCTTCGGTAATTAATAAAATAAATTGCAGAAAATGTATGTAGAAGCAGTAATTGCAGGTTTATGAGTCTTAACTCTGAACAGGAGTGAGTTAGTGGTAAGCAAGCCAAGGGTGGTTTTGTGGGGTATGGGAGAAGTAGGTTCAGGCGATGGTCATGGTGGCAGTTACTGGGGGCGGCGGCGGCGGCGACGGAGGCACAGCGGGCGCGGCAGCAGCTGCTGAGGGGGGCGGGGACCTCGAGCGCTCACCACACCGCCACCACACATCTTGCCTAAAAAACATATCTTGGGCAATTAAAGGTGCATATCCAGTTGCATAAATTCATTCAAAAACATTGAATATATAATGAGTCATTTGTTTGTTTCATCTGAAATAACAAAACTCAAGTTTATATAATATTTTACTCTAAAGTCACACTAACTGTAGTATATCAAATAGTATATCAAATTAAACAGGCCTCTACAAAATGTGGTTCAATTGCAACAAGGCAATACATTTAAAATGGTAGATCTATACTTTAATATTCCACTAACTACAGTATCTCTTGATACATTGTGAAAACACCATATTGCATACAAGTACTGTAACCTATACTGTACATATAAAGCCTGCAGATACAAAATTCACTGAAGTACATACAAACTTACAGACAAAACTAATTTCAAACAAGTGTATACAATATCTAAATGTTTTAAAATTTATTGAAGACAAGTGCATAGGAAACCTATAAATGTAAAAATCAGTGCACTTATGTTACTGTACTAGACTGTTATTTTTATTTTCATTCTTTGTGCTTGTGCAGACACTATACATTTTTAGGCACTAATGTCTGGAGACTGGCAATCAGCAGGAGAGTAGCTACTTTGCCATAAATGCCAGATGAACAGATCAACCCCATCCCCAGTAGGGTAAACAAGAGGAAAAAGTCTAGATTTATCATAAATCCACATTAAAAAATTAAAATCCTCTTCATAAAACGTAAGGTGAGCAAAGGCCACAGTTGATGACAATAAAATCTGTTACTGTATCTCAAACTACATTCTGAATGTAGAAGCAGCCTGACAGACTCAAACACAGAAAAATCAATTATCGCATATCTTTGGACGAAAAACCTCTGAACCCAGTAGACAAGAAGCAACAAGAATGTCGTACATTGCAGTTACCTTGCGTTAATTCCAGGGGTCAAGGTCCCTGCGGCCCAGTCTCTGACCAGGTCTTCTGGTTGATAGTCTGGTCAACCAGATTTTGGACGCAGCTGCTCGCAGCCTGCCCTCAGGCTGGGCTCAGGGAGAAGAAGAAACTTGTATAGATAACCTCTCCAGGTATACAGCCTGGTTGGTCAGGTATCATTTGGAGGGGGTTTATCGAGTTCTCTCCAACGCTGTGAGGAGTCAGCCAGTTATGCCCCTTATGTGCAGTGGAAACTTGTTGAACAGTCTCGGGCCTCCGATGCGAATGGAATTCTCTTTCAGAGTACCAATTACACCTCTGGTTTTCAAAAGAGGTATTCTACACATCCTGCCACGTATTCTGGTCTGTGATGATCTCTCTGTGTGCATATTTGCAACTAACCCCTCTAATATTTTTAATGTATTAATTATTATTTATCCCCCCCTGCTTGCACTCGGAGAATACAGATTTAGGCATTTTAGTCAGTCGCAATAATTTAAATAGTTTATCGAGTAGATTCTAGCAGTAAAGGATTTCTGCATGGTCTCCAGGTCAGCAATTCCTCCAGTTTTGAAAGGGGCAGTTATTGTCCAACAGTATTCCACTCTAGAGAGCACTAGCATCTTGTAAAGTATCATCATTGATACAGAATCTCTTGTTTGAAAGACTTTATCCAACCTGTCATTTTTTCTTTCCGTTTTTATGGCTACTTTATTGTATTATGCAGCCAGCCCCACAACACCAAATATACCTAGATAAACAAGGCCATCCAGGTAGTGCAAGCCAAGTTCCAAAATTGCTTGAAGGCACCATGTGTAAAACCTGAGATGTCTGGAGTTGTGTAATATCAACTACAAAAGGATTTCATAAAAAAATGAAAGGATTAAAAGGATCCAAGAGAATATTACTTCATTCTAACCCTCCTTGTCTCCACTCCTATAATCTGCACATAATACTATACCTGTACATAAGAAAAATATTAATTACCAATAAAATAAGAGCTAAAGGTATCAAAAGAGTAATTTCAACATAAAATTTTTTAAAAATTACAGATTGGAAAAAATTAAAGAAAAAGAAAGACGCACCCAACCCTTCAAGGTCAAAATGGAGCACCCTAACACATTCAAAATGAGACCTTTTTTCATGATGAACTAGTTTTATTTTTCTTGAAAATATCCTGATTTAATGGGTATTTTCGAGAGTAACGCTTGTGAAAACTAAACTGAGAAATAGAATGGGATTAGAGCTTTCGAGATCAATCTTGAGAGAAAAAACCCATCTTTAAGAACACAGGACTTGTTGCTCATCATTTGAACCACGTATTTCTATGCTAAAATATAATTCTGCAATATACAATAATGAGGTTGAGGATGCAGAAGAACTTCAAATGGGAAAATGTTGAGGGACTGCAAACCCATAATTATGCTTCATGCTGCAAATAGCACTTGCTATTAGAGGTCTAGTACAACAGCACTTGCCATTAGAGGTCTAGTACAACAGCACTTGCTATTAGAGGCCTAGTACAATACCACTTGCCATTAGAGGCCTAGTACAATAGCACTTGCCATTAGAGGTCTAGTACAACAGCACTTGCCATTAGAGGTCTAGTACAACAGCACTTGCCATTAGAGGCCTAGTACAATACCACTTGCCATCAGAGGCCTAGTACAATAGCACTTGCCATTAGAGGCCTAGTACAATAACACTTGCCATTAGAGGCCTAGTACAATAACACTTGCCATTAGAGGCCTAGTACAACAGCACTTGCCATTAGAGGCCTAGTACAATAACACTTGCCATTAGAGGCCTACTACAACAGCACTTGCCATTAGAGGCCTAGTACAATAACACTTGCCATTAGAGGCCTAGTACAATAACACTTGCCATTAGAGGCCTAGTACAACAGCACTTGCCATTAGAGGCCTAGTACAATAACACTTGCCATTAGAGGCCTAGTACAACAGCACTTGCCATTAGAGGCCAAGCACAATAACACTTCCTATTAGAGGCCAAGTACAATAACACTTGCTATTAGTAGCTTAGTACAATAGCACTAGCTATTAGAAGCTTAGTACAATAGCACTTGCTTATCTATTGTTCTATAAAAAGTTATTTATCGTAATACGCAAAAAACACTTCAAATGCAACAGCAATTAGATGGCTCAAAGTAAACAATATAAAAAATAATAAAAAAAATCTCTACATTCGCAAGGGACTTGGTAAGTTAGACAAATCAAGTCAGACATCCGTTGGCGGTCAAAGTTCACATTCAAAACCCACAGGATCGTTGACCCTTATGCTCTAAAACTCCTAACTACCTCAAACCCCTTAATAAAACGTAGTTTCTCTCACCTTAAGTGTGCCCACTGCTGCAAGTAAGTATCCCGTATAAAAAAAAGGCAACAGAGTTACTAATTGATTATTATTATTATTACTGCTGCTGTTCGAGTGTTCAAGTAACTTGTGAAGCAGTCTACACAACCCACCCACCCCAACTTTACAGAGGCAACTGGCTGCCTTGACTCAAGTCTCCCCCCAAACTACTCCCAGACATTCCTTGAGACCTTGAGTTGCCACTCGCCTATATTTAGTTTGTTTACCTTCAGTTCAGGCGTGTGTTTTTGCTGTACTGTGTCTTTGTTTCTTATTTTTATATTGTTCCAAGTGGATCAGTTTTCTTTTCTTGTGGAATCTTGGATATAAAATCTCCCGTAAAACCTACTAAAATAACATGACATACAATGAGATTTCTGCACCTGGTCTTTAATTGCGTAAGATCCATGACGTCAGTTTTCCCATGCTCAAGCAGAGGTACCACGTGCTGTTCTATAATAATAATAATAATAATAAAAATTTATTCACAAGAAGGTACAATGGGTTTGTGAGATTACATAAGATTGGTATTTTGGCATTCTTGCAAAGCCACTAACACACAAAACGTTTCGGACTAAAACAGATATAGGCCTACAAGTGTTGCCAGAGTTCCACATACAAAAATCTACCAACCACGCAGTAATAGAGAACGACAACCGCACAATAACCATCTTCACAAACGCACGACGCTTTGCGCATTAGCGGTTTTGCGAGAGAGAGAGAGAAGGCTATACCTTCCATTACTCCTTCCCATCCTGCTGCTATGATCGGAGAATAATTACCTAAATGAATTATAGAGCGACTGGTGTTTGTCAAATAAACATAACTGAACACTGTCGATGTCACCTGGAATGCTAGCTGGTTTGCTACAGTTAATATTTTTAGCAGTTTCTGGTAGATATAATAAGATTAGCCTGTGGAAAGGAAGTTTGAGTCTGTGGGTGTGTTTGAGCGACTCTGCCAAAGGACAGCCACCATCTGAACAACGTGCTGTCTTGCGACACCGCAAATAGTAATATCACTAGCATTTTGGTCTTTGTAAAAAGCATATTAACAGACGATGAGTCACAATGTGGCTGAAGATATGATGCCCAAACCACACACCAGAAGATGAAGGACTTGATTTAGGACTTGCCCGAAACGCTATACGTGCTAGTGGCTATATTTTATAGCTAAACGCACAGTTCTGAAGCAATTCTGCAAGGTTCAGTCTAAAAGATACTCACTAAGGTCAATATAAATTTTAATATAAAAAATGCAACACTATTGGGATTAGGCAACGACATTTACATGCCATATAGAATGATTTTTTAACATATACATCACAAATTTGAATTTATTATGTTTAACGCATTCTTGTAGTGTCGAAATCCAGAGGAAGAACGCCTCCTGTGTCCTGGATGTCAGGATGTTGACATCCTTACTTAGCGGTTACCTTGTGGTGATTCCGAGAACTCTGAATCCCATCCCAGAGAGAAGGAAGGAAACTTTGATTAGAGTAAAGTTAAGACGGAGGTTAGGAATGTGTGAAACTGGAACGGCTCGCCAGGCACCGTTTGTGTGCAAACAGACAGACCGAGAAGCTACACACACTAACAGTTTGGACCTGAAGGTAAGGAGGGGCCCTGTAGAGTCTTCAAGTGAACCTTGAAAAAGTTGGGGGACCAGTGAAGCAGTCCCAGGCAACAAAAGGTTGACCTAATACTGAGGGGGGAGTGTTTTATATAT